TGGCCACGGTATTTTGAGACTTGGCCACGGTAGTCCACGCTCTGGTTACATCCCGTTTAGACTACTGCAACGCTCTCTACGTGGGGTTGCCTTTGAAGACAGCTCGGAAGCTCCAACTAGTCCAACGCTCGGCAGCCATGATTTTAACAGGAGCGGAGCACAGGGAGCATACAACCCCCCTGTTGCGCCAACTCCACTGGCTACCGATCTGCTACCGGGCTGAATTCAAAGTGCTGGCGTTGGCCTTTAAAGCCCTAAACGGTTCCGGCCCAAGCTACCTATCTGACTGCATCTCTGCCTATGAACCCACCAGGAGTTTGAGATCTTCCGGGGAGACCCTGCTCTCGATCCCGCCTGCTTCTCAAGCACGGCTGGCGGGGACGAGAGATAGGGCCTTCTCGGTGGTGGCTCCTCGGCTGTGGAACGCCCTTCCTACGGACATTAGACTAGGACCATCTCTAATGGTATTCCGCAAAAAGGTGAAGACCTGGCTGTTTGAGCAGGCGTTTGAGTAATTTAGTGCAATCTGGTAATGGAACATAGGAATGGAACAATGGACGACGAACCTGGACTACGCTTGGATGATGAGAAGATTGGGTACGGTTGTTTTTGTAATAATTGTGCATTGTAATTGCTTATTGGTAATTTATGGATAATGTGTTAAGTCAATTGTTATATGTTGTATGGAACCACTGCTGTTTCTACTGTTTTTACTGTTTGTGAACCGCCGTGAGTCACCTTCGGGCTTGAGATACAGCGGTATATAAGCAAAGTAAATAAATAAATAAATAAATAAATGGATAAGTATGACGTGTGATATGTTTTGGTTATTGAACAATATACATTTTTGGTTACATTTATAGTGTTTTACAGTTACAAATGGCACCTTAAAGGCAACCATAAGGCTAATGGGGCCCTTGGTAAAAATTAGTTTGTCACTCCTGCCCTAAGTCCATGAGCTGACTGGGAACAAAGGTGGCAAAATGGAAGTAATAGAGTTTTCCTACTTCCTTTGAAGTTACAAATTGCCTCCTTTGAGATCAATGGTAGCCTGTGTCCCAGTCTTTGTGGTGGATAGAACCAAAGACCGTTCTAAGAGCTATTGTCTCTGCCAAACTATCTTTGTTCTCTGTCAATCCGTGGCTGCATGGCCTAACTTTTTCATCTCGAGACCTTTCCTCAATAACATGTCAAAGCAGAAATATAGATGCTCTGACTCTAGGACTTTCATTCCTTTGAATACTTTTTTAAAATCACATTTACTTCAAGAGCTAGGTTTGAAAGTTAGCATGATGTATTTTCTGCCTTTTGGATATGATCATTGAAGAACCTTCCTAGGTCAGAACATTTCTATTGGCTCATTGACCAACTATGAGAAGTTCACTGGTGAACATGAGTATAATAATATTGCCCTTCATTTCATGTTTCCGAATAGCTAATATAAATATGTCATACTATCTCTCACATTTCAATAGTATCCTCAGTAATAACCTGTGGTAGGATTATCTTTCATGAAGGAGGCTACACTGTGTCCAAAGAAGGACAATCAAAATGGTCTGGAAGCTAAGCCCTAAGAGCAGTGGTTCTCAACCAGTGGGTCTTCAGATGTTTTGGCCTTCAACTCCCAGAAATCCTAACAGCTGGTAAACTGGCTTGGTTTTCTGGAAGTTGTAGGCCAAAACACCCGGGGACCCACAGATTGAGAACCAGAGCCTAAGAGGAATGGCTGAAGGATCTTAGTATGCTTCTCCTGCAGAAGGTTAAGAGAGGATGTCATAGTCATATAAATGATGTTGTATTGAAGATGGAGCAAGTTTGTTTTCTGCTCCTCAAGGCCCATCTACACAGGTCACTTGAGTTGGCCCAGGGGTGAATGGACTCAATGGTGGCCAAATGATGCATAGGGTCCATTCAGTGTAATGCAGGAGAAGGCTATTTATTTATTTATTTTTATTTATTTAGAAGATTTCTATACCGGCCTTCTCAACCTCGGCGAGGGACTCAGGTCGGTTTACAGTGCATATCAAATACAATCATATAAAACAACAATTACAGGTCAATACATATTAAAATAGTACAACTCAGTACAATAAAAACATCATCATTACATCATTACAATATGCCAAATCGTCAATCCAGTCATAGTCAAAATCATATTCATAGTCACAGTTCATCATAGGTCATCACAGGGAAGGTTCTAGGTTCAGTCTTCGAATGCCGCCCTCCAGAGCCATGTTTTTAGCTATTTCCTGAACGTCAGGAGGGAGGGGGCAGATCTAACCTCTAGTGGGAGGGAGTTCCAAAGCCAGGGAGCCACCACAGAGAAGGTCCTGTCCCTCGTCCCCACCAACCTTGATTGTGAAGGTGGTGGGACCGAGAGCAGGGCCCCCCCAGAAGATCTTAGTAGCCTTGATGGTTCATAGGGGAGAATCCGTTCGGACAGGTAAACTGGGCTATTTAACATCATTTTCTCCTGCATTAAAAAAGTTGTGGGACACAGCTAGTTCATATTTTGGGCCAGTGTAAACTGTTATGCTGCTTCCTATTTAGAAACAACTTTAGATATTTACTGCATCATCCCTTCCTCCTTTTTATACTGCAAAATACTAACATGAGTATTCTCTGAAAATTACTGCAATGCAAAGGACTTTATTCACTGTGCTGACCTGCCTATGGTTTAAAGTTGTTGTTTCTTTTTTGTCAGGCATATAGTGCATGCACTTCAACCCAATGTTACAGGTAAACTATTTTTCTTTTATATCAGAACTAGGGCATCTCAAATCCCTCAAATGCTGAGTTTGTGGCATCTACAATCTTAATTACCGGAGAAATGCCAGATGGTATAAGGTTAGAAGGCTGGAAAGATAACTGCATGACTCTGGCTCTATCACATGGCTGGTGGCAGTTCAGTATTTAATAGCATAAGTTCATTTTTCCCCATCTTTATACTTGGCGGATCTTAATGGAACCCCCAGTAAGAGGGTCCAAAATCCTGCTATTGTCAACCTCTTCTTGCTTTACCCTAGAGATGCAAGTTTCTTTCCCAAGGGATCCCAAGGTCTATGATAATGCAACCTTGAAAACAAGATTCTAGTTTCCATAAATTTTCTCTAGCCTGTCTACTCAGACATATATTAGTCATCTGTAGCATACTGAATGTGCCAGAGTCATAAATAATAAACTCTACAGTTTACAGAAGTTCATTACTTTGCTGTTTGAGAGCAGTTCTCCCTTGCTGTGAATATTTGCAAACCTTACGTGATATTTTTGTATCTTCAGTAATACAGTCTGCCCTCCATATCCATGGATTCTGCATCCAAGAATTTTATTGTTCACAACTTGAAAGTATTTATCCCTCACAAAACATCCAAATAAGAAAGCTTGATCTTACCAGTTTGTATATATAATGCAACCCCTGTATCTGCAGGACTTGTAACCACAGTTTCATTTATCTACCTCTACATTTCCAAGTCTTCCAGCACAAATCTATGATTCTTGGGCCAGAAATCCTTCCTTCTAATAGGGTTTGTTTTTGCCCAATATTTTGTATGTCCAAATGACATCTGGGAACATATCCCCGTGTATACAGGGGTTATACTTTAATGGGACTTTAGCACCTACAGATTTTGGTATCAATGAAGTATCCTTGAACCAAACCTCACTGTAAATAAATGCTGTGAAATAAATATGTTTCACAGTTGCAATATTGTTATCCATCACAAATACATACATTTCTTTACCAATAAAAACAAGAACTATAAAGAGAATTAAAGCACAAAGCTTAAGGCACAGGTTTAAGCACATTGTTGCAATACCTCTGGCTGGAAATGCTGAAATGGCCATGAGGCATAAAGAAAAGCAGCAGTCACAACTTTGTTTGTTATCACTATGTTTAAAGAATGGTATAGGTCTTAATCCTTGGATTTTATCCTTAAACATCAACAACAGTTGATACATTCCTGGAGTTTAGAAATGTTACTTTTCTAAATACAGTTCCCAGAATCTTCACGTCGGCTAGAGCTATGCTAACTAGAAGATTCTAAGCCAGGCATAGGCAAACTTTGACCCTGTTCTAGGCACTATAATCCCGAAAAGGAGCATTTCCAAGTTATATAAAAAAATCCTTACAGAACCCTGTTTCATGCCTCTGGCAACCTGCAGAATGATAACTTTGCAGTGACAGCAAGATAGGTAAAAAGTATTTCCTTACAGTCAAGGTGTAGCTTTTAACTAGAGGGCAACTGTATGCCAGAAAGAAGTGGCAACAATGTCACTCTGGGAAACTGTAAATATGAGCAACAAAGGTCCAGTGGGGATTTTGACCAACTTGTATAGTCTCATAAATTATTGGTTCATCAGTGTGGCATCAAACACATAAACAATCACAAATTATCATCTCAACATGTAGTCCCTATTTTATAAATACAATGCTTTTAAAATGGAGAAAACTTTCTGCCGATCCATCAATTGGATAATATGTATAGCACAAGAAGCCATACTTTGTGTTAAGCACCCTTGTTGCTTATGCCACAAAATGTGTATTCCAAATGACTACCAACATAAAGTGGAAGTACAGTATAATGACTTGGTTCTATACCAGTGGTTCTCAACCTGTGGGTCCTCAGATGTTTTAGCCTTCAACTCCCAGAAATCTTAACAGCTGGTAAACCGGCTGGGATTTCTGGGAATTGTAGGCCAAAACACCTGGGGACCCACAGGTTGAGAACCACTGTTCTATACACTATGGCCCTTGTATCTGCAGGACCAGTCCCTCTGGTTTCATTTACCCATGTCTGAGTTGTTTGTTCAATAGTATTTGCTATTCCATGCAAAGTCTTCAAACATATCTCCTACATAACCAGAGGGACATACTCACATGATGGCCATTCACACAACTATATCAAGTTATGGACTTATCTATATGCTAATCCCATTTTACTGCCCAATCACTATGTAACATGCCCTGTTCTCTGGCAGACTAACACATGAGATTGTCTCACCTGGAGGCTTTTCTGACTCTTGCCTTTTCGAAGGAAAACCGAGGCTGCTCCGTCAGGTCATATGTCCGGCTTGTTGGCTCTGCCGACACACCTTCCTTAGCACCTTTCCTCCTGTTGCTGCATGGCGCTGGGCTGACCTTGGGTACTTCTTTAAGAGGGGAGAACATGAAGGGGTTTGTTCCCTGGGTGTCCACCACATCCTGCAGCTTATTCAGCTGGATGCATTTACACTTGAGCTCTTCGGTGAGGTCTGCAATGGTCCTGGTCTGCTTTGCCAGTTGCTCCTGGAGCTCGAGGATGTGGTAGTTCCTCTCGTGCAACTCTTCCTCTTGCCTCTTCAGCTCCCGCTCTAGTTCCCAAACCTTGCTTCTCAGAATATCTGCCGCATTTGTGATTGTGCTGATATTCACACCTTGGTCTTTGACAAACTTGCTGCTGCCACCTGGGCAGCCATATGGGCAGTTCCCTGCATGGCCTTCTTGCCTCTTCAGGTACTTGTGTTTTACTGACCCATTTCCCATTTGGGACGGTGGCCTACACAAGGAAACAGATGAAAAACTGTGTTGTGACAAACGAGAACAGAGAATCAGAACATTTACCTAAGAGCAGAATGCTAAGACCGGCGAATTTTCTTCCCACGCAGTTATTAAAGATAGAAAGACAGTCTCGCTTCTTTATTTCTTTGTTAAACCTCTCCTTAAAACCATCTGGAAGGCTGTCTGCCGATAAGTCCCCGCACATTTCAAACCAATGGCTCATGCAACCTGCTGCTCTCGTTGGACATTCTTATTAATGTTAATTTCACACATTCAGAACTGAAATACTGTCAGACTGTCAGTAAATAAAACCAAACAGCAACAGTAGAAGCGTGGGAGCAAGGGGAAAAAGGAGAGCAACCTCCTCCTTGCAAGAAAGCTACTGGTGTGGGTAGTACGGATCGTATTTTCCATATTTATGCCCAAATCAAACAACTCATTTGAAAAACCTGGAAAACAATTCCATGTTTTTAAATACAAGATTGCATGCATAAGATATGTAATTATCAAATCAACACAGGGCAGAATAAATACTTCAGCATTCGTGCGAAATGTCTAAGTACCTGGCCAATCAAACAATCAAGGTGTTTTCAAAGCCTCTTATTCATCTTCCGCCTCATGTTTTCTAACACATCGGTTGATTTTCCAAATGCTGTTTCAGTCTTTGTTTGGTGCTTTGCAAATTCAACATATCTTTGTATGCAAGTTTCAAAATACTTTCTGAGGATCTATTTTTTGGTTGCAGGTGACAAAATCGGGACAAATATAGAGCAATGAATATAACTTGTTCACAGTATAGACAATATTTTGGAAGGGAGTTTTCACTGACTGAAGGAATCTCTAGGTCAGTGGTTCTCAACCTTCCTCATGCCATGACCCCTTATTACAGTTCCTCAGGTTGTGGCGACCCCCAACCATCAAATTATTTTCGTTGCTACTTCATAATTGTAATTTTGCTACTGTTATGAATCATAATGTAAATATCTGATCTGCAGGATGTATTTTCATTCACTGGACTAAACTTGGCACAAATACCCAATACACCCAAATTTGACTACTGGCGGGGTTGCAGGGGTTGATTTTGTCATTTGGGAGTTGTAGTTGCAGGGATTTATAGTTAACCTACAATCAAATAGCATTCTGAACTCCACCAATGATGAAATTGAACCAAACTTGTCACACAGAGCTCCCATGACCAACGGAAAATACTGGAAGGATTTGGTGGGCACTGACCTTGAGTTTGGGAGTTGTAGTTCACCTACCTCCAGAAACTCAAACAATGATGGATCTGGAACTAACTTGGCATGAATATTCAATATGCCCAAATGTAAACACTGGTGGAGTTGGAGAAAATAGACCTTGACATTTGGGAGTTGTAGTTGTTGGGATTTATAGTTCACCTACAATCAAAGTGCATTCTGGACCCCACCAACGATAGAATTAGCCCAAACTTCTCACACAGAACTCCCATGACCAACAGAAAATACTGTTTTCTGATGGTCTTTGGTGACCCCTCCGACACCCCCTTGCGACCCCCCTGGGGGTCCCGACTCCCAGGTTGAGAAACACTGCTCTAGGTCCTCTAGTCTTGCTTCAGGACCCGAGAGATTTCAAGAGGGAATACTTATCTAGGAATCTCTAGGTCATCCAATGAGATTATATTATCACCTTCTAATGGAAGCTGACTGCTGGATGATTTTGACATTTCTAGGGAGACATTCTCTGAGATAAACAAAAATATCGATTTCTTTATTTGTGTTTTTTTCATTTTCATGGGAGTCCCGATCCCAGTGAATGTGAAGGACTGACTATATATGAGAAATCATATCACACAAACAATCCTTCTGGAATGAATTCATCATGGGATATGCAGATTTATTATAATTACCTCTCTCTAGTGTTGGCCACGGCCCAGTCCTGACACAAACCCAACTAGACAAGCTTGCACACATCATTCAAGTTCAGTGAACGATGCATGGTACTTATTCAACTTCCATCGTATAGATTTGCATCTTTGGAACAGTTGCCTCAGCCAGCAGAATAAAACAATCACCATTATCCTCTATTACCTGCTCTGTTTTGTAGATCTAATAGAAGGAGGAGCAGGTTGATTTGTGGGACCTCATTTCTGCCCAAAGTGCAAAATTCTATGTGCCCAGGAACAATTTGGAATTTAATGAATCTGATATGTGACAAATTTCTGCTTTTTTCCCATGTCCCAGTGAATCATGAAAAAAACAGTAGAGTCTCGCTTATCCAACATAAATGGATTGGCAGAACGTTGGGTAGACGAAAATGTTGGATAAGGCGGGAAAAGCCTATTAGTCAAATTACATTATGATTCATTTAGATGATTCATTGAAGACGACAATGATACTGGGAAAATGGAAGGAAAAAGGAAGAGGGGCCAATCAAGAGAAGGATGGATGGATGGATGGTATCATTGAAGTGACTGTCTTGACTTTGAAAGAACTGGGGGTGGACACAGCTGACAGGGAGCTCTGGCATGGGCTGATCCATGAGGTCACAAAGAGTCAGAAGCAACAGAACAATTTTTTTACGTTATAATTTTACAAATTAAGCACCAAAACAATCATTTTTTTACAACAAATTGACAGAAAAAGCAGTTCAATACATGGTAACATTATGCAGTAATTACAGCATTTATGAATTCAGCACCAAAACATTGCAATGTATTGAAACAGCTGTGGATCTAGGCAGGAAGCAGACTGTATTGGATATAATGCAGACCATTGGATGAGCGAAGGTTGGATAAGTGAGACTCTACTGTACTTCCTCCCTCTTACATGCTGTTTTCACACAAGTGTCTTAATTGTGCTCCCTTTCATTTTCCTATTAAATAAAATTCTACATTGTCATCATTGTGGGGGGGGGGGGGAATAACTAGCAAAAATGGGGAAAATAGTTTTCCTCCTTCAACTTCCACTCTGTAAAATGGACTATCCTCTGTCTAGCATTCCCTTTTGGCCTCTGCCCAGATAATAGAACAGTACCATCATAGAATCATAGAATCCATAGAGTTGGAAAAGACCTCATGGGCCATCCAGTCCAACCCCCTGCCAAGAAGCAGGAAAATTGCATTCAAAGCACCCCTGACAGATGGCCATCCAGCCTCTGTTTAAAAGCCTCCAAAGAAGGAACCTTCACCACACTCCTGGACAGAGAGTTCCACTACTGAACAGCTCTCAGTCTGGAAGTTCTTCCTAATGTTCAGATGGAATCCCCTTTCTTGTAGTTTGAAGCCATTGCTCCACATCCTAGTCTCCAGGGCAGCTGAAAACAAGCTTGTTCCCTCCTCCCTATGACTTCCTGTCACATATTTATACATGGCTATCATGTCTCCTCTCAGCCTTCTGCACGCTAAACATGCCCAGCTCTTTAAGCCACTCCCTTTCACATACTTATACATGGTTATCATGTCTTATACATGTCTTATACATGGCTATCATTTGCATGTTGTTCTCCCTCTATGAACCATCTTGGAAGTTAAGATCTTCTGGGGGGGCCCTGCTCTTGATTCCACCTCCTTTGCCGGTGCGGTTGGTAGGGATGAGGGACAGGGCCTTCTTAGTGGTGGCCCCTCACTTATGGTTCCCTCCCCAGAGGAATTAGTTCATCTCCCTCCCTCATAACCTTAAAAAAAACTGAAGATATGGCTGTGGCACTAAGTGTTTGGATAGCAATGCAGTGCAAAAAGGGAAGATGACTGGAACAGCTCTTTGACTAAGATATTGGATTATGCAGTTCTTGCTAATAATTGGTTTTAATGTTTTAATGCTTTCTAACCTTATGTTTTAACGTATCTATTTATTTTTACTATATGTTTGTTTAATGTTTTATGGCATTGAATTGTTGCCTTTTGTAAGGCCGCTCTGAGTCCCCTTTGGGGTTAGAATGGCGGGATATAAATATTGTAAGTAAAATAAATAAACATGATTACAATTACAGGCAAAGCTCTGAATCGTTTACTGGATTGCTGGGAAGTACATGTGAAAAAGATCTTGGAGTCCTCATGGACAACAAGTTAAACATGAGCCAACAATGTGATGTGGCGGCAAAAAAAGCCAATGGGATTTTGGCTTACATCAATAGGAGTCTAGTGCTTAGATCCAGGGAAGTCATGCTACACCTCTATTCTGCTTTGGTTAGACCACACCTGGAATACTGTGTCCAATTCTGGGCACCGTATTTGAAGGGAGGTGTTGACAAGCTGGAATGTGTCCAGAGGAGGGCAACTAAAATGATCAAGGGTGTGGAAAACAAGACCTATGGGGAGTGGCTTAAAGAGCTGGGCATGTTTAGCGTGCAGAAGGCTGAGAGAAGACATGATAGCCATGTATAAATATGTGACAGGAAGTCATAGGGAGGAGGGAACAAGCTTGTTTTCAGCTGCCCTGGAGACTAGGATGTGGAGCAATGGCTTCAAACTACAAGAAAGGAGATTCCATCTGAACATTAGGAAGAACTTCCAGACTGTGAGAGCCGTTCAGCAGTGGAACTCTCTGCCCAGGAGTGTGGTGGAAGTTCCTTCTTTGGAGGCTTTTAAACAGAGGCTGAATGGCCATCTGTCAGGGGTGCTTTGAATTCAATTTTCCTGCTTCTTGGCAGGGGGTTGGACTGGATGGCCCATGAGGTCTCTTCCAACTCTAGGATTCTAAAATGTTCACATTGCAGTTAAGCTCAGAAGCAATAGGCAAAGCAAAGGGAAAGGGGGGCAGATGATATAATTATCTCTTTTCAAAAAGTGTTTCATTATTAGGTTGTTGTAGGTTTTCTGGACTATCTGGCCATGTTCTAGAGGCATTTTCTCCTGACGTTTCGCCTGCATCTATGGCAAGCATCCTCAGAGGTAGTGAGGTCTGTTGGAAGTAGGAAAATGGGTTTATATACCTGTGGAAAGACCAGAGTGGGACAAAGGACTTTTGTCTGCTGGAGCTAGGTGTGAATGTTTCAACTGACCACCTTGATTAGCATTTA